GGGAATGAAAGGGGTGCAGGCATGGAGTAACCAGGAGTATCGCCGATCTGAACCGGGCTGGGATTTGCCTGGGTCATGCCTGGCACGAGCTGGTGCCCTTCATCCTTTGCTGCAGTGAGCTTTATGAATTAAGTGAATGCGTAACTTGGTTCTTTCCGAGGGGAGGGATTTCGCCTGGCAAAATGAAATCCAGATCCCAGAGCAGAGCAAAGCAGCGGTGCCATCAAAACCCCTTTCGTTCTGCTCTACATCCCCTCCGAGCCGCTTGCTCCTGATGGCTGACCCCCTGCCCACTCCCTGGTCGTTGTCTCTGTTTGTGTCCCTCCAGCTGGAGCAGAAGCAGAAGGAGGCCCTGGAGCTCCTGGAGCAGAACCGGCATCTACAGGACCAGCTGAAAGTGGCACTGGGCCGGGAGCAGAGTGCCCGGGAGGGCTACGTGTTGCAGGTAGGAGAGCGAGGAGGAGAGAGAAATCCATCTTGCTCAGTGCTCGAGGGGGACCCTGGTGGGCTTCAGTCCAGTGTGTTCATGGGGGACATCCTGGTTGACACAGAGATATGCACCTCTGAGTGGGCTCCAAGAGATTTGACCTTCTTGCAAATATTGCTAATTCTGTAGCTTTACCAGAATCATCTGCTTAACAAAACCTCTGATCTGGGATGCAGTAGACAGAAGATAACGTTACCTACTGGTGTCCCCAAGGGAAAACAAAACACAGCCATGGTAGACAGATGGGACCTCAGCAAAGTCCACTTCTGATCCATCCTGTACTGTGTTTACCTATGAAACAGCTGCTTCCCTCTTTCTGTGCCCCTGATGTTCCCCTCAGGCTGTGGGGTGCACACAGGGCTTTCTAAGCATCTTGTAGCCCAGCAGTTGCTCCTGGCCGGGGAGTTTGTGTGACAGTTCCATGGGCAAACACAACACACTCAGGGGTATGTCCCGGGCCCATTCCCTGCAGCCAGAGCAGGATTTGCACTGGGACGACCTGTTATCTTGGATCGCTTTGGGGGTTTCTTCTGTTACAAGATGCCTTTCCTCAGCAAAACCTAGAAGGGTGTTTTGGAGGTTCTGGTAAAAAAGACAGGAGAATCTCTTGGAAAACCTTTCCTCCCCTCCTCCAAACACAGTGGAATTTTTCCAGCCCTTCTTCTGGGAGTGTCCATGCTCCAAAGGAGCTGTGATGCCTGCAGGGCAGCTTCTGGCTGCTCACGTGGGTCCTGTTCTGTGCAGGGGCAGCATTTTAACCTGCTCACATCTACTTGGCCAGAGTGGCTCTGGATCAAAGTGGCTGTGCGTGGCTGCACGCTGCACTCCCGTGACAGCAAACCTGGTGTCAACGCTGAACCTTTACGTCCTTATTTTTCATGGGAGAAATTCCCCTGAAGAAGTTGCACAGGCAGTGGAGCCAGCCTAGGCAGGGGGGCATCTTGCCTTCCTTGCTGATGATCTCCTCGAAGGATTTATTAATGGAGTTCCCGAGCTGACAGCGCTTGCTTGGCAGAATTCCATTTTCACCTGGCAGTGTTGGAAGAATAACTAACTCCCACTTCCCTGGGGAGAGTGATCTGACCTCCCCTTCCAGACCAGGAGCCCAGAAAAACCAGGGAATGGGGCTAAAAGCTGGATGCTGAATTCACCATGAGATTGTCCATGTTGAAGTTGGCCGTAGTGCCTCCATGCGAGGAGGGGAGGCAAGAGGGGAGATCTGCAAAAGGGCTGAGCTTCAGGGAGAAGTGACCCAAGCTTTGACCTACAAGTTGGAGAGGGTTTTTTGGAAGGGTTGGAGGCTTTTGCTTGCTCCAGTCTAATTCTTCTGAGGATTTCCCTGGGAGCAGAGGGATTAAAGTCCTGTTGCAGAAGGGAGTAACCCCACCAAACCCTGCTGAGGTGGAGGGAGTGGAATCACTGGCAGGAGGTTCTGCAGCCCCAGACTGTGGGCAAACATCACAGCATATTTTTGGATGGACTCTCTGAATTTCATGTGCCCCCCACCTCCATCATGCCTAATTTTGGAGAGGTTCCTACGTTATTTTTAGGGAGGGACAGTGGAGGAGCCTGAGTGCTGCCCAAGTTGGGGCACCAGCTCCTCCTTGACAGCATGAGCAGCCCCGTATGGACCCCCAAGCTCTGCCCTGATATAAAAGACGCTGCACATTTCGTGAGGCAGCCGCTGAGATACCCACCCCGATGCATGTGCCATGCACCAAAGTCTCTCTGGCCTCGTGTAACACCTCTCTTGCTCTGAGCTTCCTCGGGATGGGGCACCCCAACTTTGAACCTTACTGGGAGAAACAGTGGGGCCTCCTGCTCCTTTGCAAACAGACCGGAGACATCCCCCAGCTCCGGTCACGGCGGGTGGGAGGGGTCACGTACTAACCTGTCCTGGGCGGATGTTCTTGCATGTTTTTGGTGTAAAGCATGAAATTTAACTTAACATAACTGAGTGTCACATCTGTGGGCTTTCCTTATCGGCAATCAGAGTACAGCAAGGCAGGCCAAATTCCTAGGCTTAACGCTGTGCTTCTCTCGCCTCTTCCTTCCTGTCTGTCTATTTTTTTTCTTTCAAGATACATAATTTCTGTCGCCTTTTGCATGACTTTCTCTGTGAGTTTTCTCTTTGCATGCTACATTGCTTTGGTTTGCATCTCACAAAGGTTGGTTTCTTTTATTTTTACATTCTCATCACACCTTTTCCCTCCCTTCACTTGTCGGGCTATTTATTTTGTCCTTTGTTGTTTTGGGTTTTGTTTTTTTTGGTTTTGTTTTTGTTTCTTTTGCAGGTAGAGAAATTAGATCCTCCCTAGTCTTAAACTTTAGCATAACAACATCTCTTTAATGCAATGAGCAGCCGCTAAGTCCTGTTTGGCAGTCACAGAAATGACATCGCCACGCCAGCTCTCCTGTCTCCCTGTGTTTGGGTGGGATGTGATGTCATTCGCTGTCACCTCACTTTCTGTTGTTGCTTTTGGTTGGTACAACTGTGTTACCTTGAACTGTGCACTTTTTGTTTTACAACAAAACAAACAAAAAAAGCTAAAAAAGCAGTTCCTTTCTTCTCGACCTGTTCCCACCCCCTCCTCCTTCTCACCCTTTTTCTCTTGTCTGTCCATCTCTGTTTTCCTGCTGGTGTTTCTTTTCCATTGTTTTTTGGTTCTTTTTGATTTTGGTTTAGGTTTGTTTGGTTTTTTTTTCCTTTTAGCCTGTTAACTGTACAGCTGTTTTGATGTTGTAGTCCATGTTTTCTGTTACTGGAAAGCAGTTGTTGCTCATTTAAAAAAAAAAAAAAAAAAAAAGAAAAAAAAAAAGTTGGTTAAAACAGACAAAAAAAATTGTGCCAAGAACAAATCATCCCAATTGGAGCATGTGGGTAGCAGCCAAATCGCTGCGAGGAGCTTTTCCGTGGCCTGCCAGGCCAGAGGTGTGACACTCAGAAGGGAGAGCCAAGAGTGTTACTAATCTAGTATTTAATCAATTTTTTTAAGACCGAGGTGGCCGCCTCGCCATCAGGTGCCTGGCAGAGGCTCCACAAAGTCAACCAAGACCTCCAAAGCGAGCTGGAAGCCCAATGCCAGCGTCAAGAGCTGATCAATCAGCAGATTCAGTCACTGAAGCGCAGTTACGCCGAGGCCAAGGACGTGATCAGGCACCACGAAGCCGAGATTCAGAGCTTGCAGGCGAGGCTCAGTAATGCGGCGGCTGAGCTCTCCATCAAGGAGCAGACCCTGGCCAAGCTCAAAAGCGACCTGAGGAGTGAAAAAGAGAAAGCCAAAGAGCAACTGGAGGAGTGGCAGCAGGGCGAGGCTGCGCTCAGCTCCCAGCTGAAGGCCAGCGAGCAGAAGCTGAAGAGCGCAGAGGCTCTGCTCCTGGAGAAGACCCAGGAGCTGCGGGACCTGGAGATGCAGCAGGCTCTGCAGAGGGACCATCAGAAGGAGGTGCAGCGGCTCCAAGACAGGATCACAGACCTGAGCAGGCAGCTGAACGTCAGCGAGCAAACGCGGATCCTCATGGAGGAGAAGCTGCAGAAGAATTACGAGGCTTTGCTGGAGAGCTGCGAGAGGGAGAAGCAGGTTTTAATCCGGAGTCTGAAAGAGGTGGAGGATAAGGCCAACGAGTATGAGAACCAGCTGCAAAATAACGAGCAGCAAATGGAGATTCTGCAGAAGGAGAAGCTGAGTGCAAAGTTTGAAGGCAGCGAGCTCGTCCACCAGCTGGAAGAACAGCTGGTGATGAAGGAGGCCAGCATCCAGAAACTTGCAGAGCACATCAAGGAGCTTGAAAGAGAGAGAGATCAGATCAAATGTCGGTTCCACGAGCTCATGAATCAGGTTGCTGAGTCGGATAACGAAGTTGCCAAGCTGCAGGCAAAGTTGAAAATGGAAGAGACCAACTACCACAATCTGGAGCAATCGTTCGAGGAGGTGTCAGCTCAGTTTCAGGGTGTGCAGAAGGTGCTGAAAGAAAAAGAAGAAGAGCTGAGACATGTTAAGGAAATGCACTTGAGAATTGTGGAGAAGAAAGATCAAGATCTCAGCGAGGCTTTGGTTAAAATGGTCGCTTTAGATAGCAGTTTAGAGGAGACTAAAGTAAAGCTAAAGGCCAAGGAGGAGGCTTTAAAGAAATTAGCAAGTGTAGGCACAGGTCTGTGTGCTGAGGAGGTGGAAGACCTTGGCCCCAGTCTCGAGGCTGACGAAAGTCATCCATCGCAACTGGGGCAGCCTCTGCACACTCAGGATGTCCTCCCTGCTCTGACTTATGCACTGAAGGAGGAGGAGGAGGAGGAGGTTCTTGAGACCAGCCAGAGGCAAGCAGAGGAATTCGGCTCCCCATCCAAAGCTGTAGAGCTCCAGGACCCAGAGTTAGTTCAGAAAGCCTTAGCAAAGCCTGATGTAGGAATCGTGGGGGCCAAGAGGCAAAGAATCCGTTTCTCGAGCATCCAGTGCCAAAAATACATCCATCCAGACGGATCGGAGAAAAACTGGACAAGCAGTACCTCTTCAGACACGAGCCAAGACAGATCGCTGTCTGAAGAAAGCATGTCATCAGAGCCAGCTCTTGGGTACCCATCATCAGGGACGAGCGACTCTGAGACCTATCTCTCAATCATCCATTCCCTGGAAACCAAACTTTATATTACAGAGGAAAAACTCAAAGATGTGACGATGAAGCTTGAAAGCCAGCACGGCCATAACCAGGAGACGCTCATCGCCCTCCACCACCAGTGGGCCAGCACAGAGTCTCAGCTGCGGGACCAACTTCAAACCAGTTTATCCCAAGTCAGTGCTTTGATCTCCCAGCTGGAGAATGAGAGGCAGGAAAAGTTCAAGCTCATAGAAAGTCGCGTTAGCGCGTTGGGAGGTTTCCAAATGAAAAATGATCAAGCGCTGACTTGCTTAGAGAAGTGCAGGGAGCAACTAAGATCTTTGCCCAAATCAGACAAGGAAAAAGAGGGTGATTTGTTCCTTGTTACTCTCTCCAGCATGGAAACGACCTTATCAAATGCAATCCAAGCCTTGAGAGGGGCGCCAGTCCCATCGGACTATCAGCAGAGTGAAAGCCTTATCACAGAAAGCCCTGCTCCAGAAGGAGGTTTTTTGGGAGAAGAGGAGCACGTCTCCAAGGAGCAACACGCGGAAATGTTTGACGCTGGCCAGCTGAGGTGGCTCTCTGAGAGAGTGGCATTTGAGGCCTCTCTCATCAACCAAATAGCAGAGTCTTTGAAAAATGCAAACTCTGAGATATCTCAGCTTCTGAGAGAGATCCAGGGAACGGCTGAGGTGGTTTTGTTGGAGCCAGCAAATGTTTCTCATACAGCAGTCGACTTGGCCAGCATCCTATCTAAGAAGCTGCTGCTGGAAGGGGAGTTCTGGAGCCAGGTGGAGGAGCTGAGAGTGCACTTGAGCACCAGAGAAGGAGAAGCCGAGGGCAAAACAGAAACAACAGGTTTGGGCTTTTCTCCATGTTTTCTCAGTGCTGTGGCAGATGCTACATTGATCAAGGCAGAACTCGGGTTTGTCGCGCAGAAAATGAGAGAATCTTTTCATCAGAGATTAAAAACAATCGAAGAAGATCTCCATAACACCAAAACAGCTCTCCAGCAGCATAAATGCATGTTAGAGGAGATCATCAAAGCATACAGGACTCCTGATTTTGACAGAGTTATGCACCAGATTTCTGAAGCACTTGAAATTCAAAAAGATGCTTCGGAAAGAACCCAAATCTCCTGGGATGGGAGCCATCTCCAGATGGTGCCGTGTCAGGAATTAGGCAAGGTGGAGGAGATTGGCAGCCTGCCCGACCATAGTAGTGAAGCTCTTGTTTCCATTCAGGAAGATCTTGCCCAACAACTAAAGGACAAATCAAATGTTCTGAAGGAAATATCTGTTGCCTTACTCTCTCTGCCTCCTGAGGAGGCAATGAGAGACTGTCAGAAGCTCCTGAAGATATCTCAGAGTCTTTCTTATCATTCGTGCATGGGAGACCTTGAACGGTATTCCTCTTTGTTAGTCCAAGATGCAATTGTTCAGGCTCAGGTGTGTTATGCTGCTTGCAAAGTCCGACTGGAGTACGAGAGAGAGCTGAAGTCCTACAAGGAGTCCTTGCAGAGCATGGACGCGCTCTGCCAAGAGCGTGTGAAGACGGTCTCTCTCCTTCGGGATGAGTATGAAGACTTGCTTAGAAAGCAGCAGGGTGAGTACAGTGAGGTCATTGCCATGCTTGAACGGGAGAACGCTGATCTCAAAGCAAAGGTCTCCCAGCTTGACAGTCAGCGAAGGCTCTTGGAGGAAGAAGAGCATAAGCACAGCAAGAGCTTGAGTGAATTGCAGGGACGGTATGAGGAGGAGATTCGAAATGTGATAGAACAGCTAAACAGGACAGAGGATGCTCTGAAGGCTGAGAGGACAGAGGGCCTCAGCCAGCTGGATGCCATCGTCCGTGACAAGCAGAACATGGAGCGGTATCACCTAGAGCAGATGCAAATGCTGGAGGACAAGTTCCAGGCCAAGATTAAGGAGCTGCAGGTCATCCATGGTGAGGAACTGCAGGCGTTGCAGGAGCACTACAGCCAGAACCTGCAGCGCCTGCAGGAGACCCTCGATGAGTACCAGAAGCAGCACCCGGAGGTGTCCCCCGCGGTGGGCCCGGGTGATGGGGACGCCTGGGTGGCCGGTGAGGCGGGGGATGGCAGTGACTTGGACTCCATGCACGGCCTGAGAGAACGCATCCAGGAGCTGGAGGCCCAGATGAACGTCATGAGGGATGAGTTGGAGAACAAGCATCTGGAGGGGAACGTTTCCACCTTGAGGGAAAAATACCAGAAAGATTTTGAAAACTTAAAGGTCTTGATATGTTTAATGGTTTCCGCTTTCTGCTGCTGAGTGTACGGGAGGGTGCGTTCGGTCCCGGGGTCTGCTTGGTGAGCCAAGGGATGTCCTCCAAGAGAGCTAACACACCGAAGCAAGCCCCAGGGTGTTAGCTCTCTATAAAGCCATGGCATTGCCCTTTTCTCCATGCTGGGGTATTCTAAATGCATTGCTGAGGGCTTGGTCTCAGGGGGAGGGTTGATTTTTGGAGGTGGTCTCTGCATGCAGAGGGAGGGAGGGTTTTGAAGTAGCTTGATAACTTCACGTTATCCTTCAATATGAAGCCCGTTGTGTTTCTCCTCCTACCCGAGGTGTACGTTTTGTTCGTGACTTCCCTTTAAAAACATTCCTCAACTCTGTCTTTCCCAGTCTGATCAAATCTCCAGTCTGTCTCTGCTGCCCACAAAAATGTAAGATGAAATGGAAACTTAATGCTCTCAAAATGTATGTTCCTGGGGAAAGTAGCTGCAAACAAATGCCAAATTCTTTAGCAAAAGAAAGCTCCTCTGCACGATGCTGCAAGGAGAACCACCCTGGTGTCACAGACCAGTGATCCTTCACACAACAAACAGTGCACAGTTATGGGAAACCCAGGCCAGGTGCTGAAGAACCCAGTGACAATGAGGTACCTGTGTTCAGACTGCACCACCAGTCACAACTGGCTGTAAAACCAGGCTGAGATGGTACAGGGTCTAAAAAAACCTCTTGGGTTTGGTGTGTTTTTGTGAGAGCATTTCCAGTTAGGAAGTGGGTTTAGGGCAGTAGAAGACTCCTGGCAGCACCCAGAGAGGTTTCCAGGTTGGAAGGGCAGTGATGCAGGGTGCCGTGCTGGCGAGGCTTTCATGGAGCAGTCGTTCTTCAGAGTTAGCATAAATGTGGGAGACCTTGCTCCCAAACACGAGATCTTCAGTGTAGGATTGGGCTGGGGGTAAAGCGTGGCTTAACTCTAGCCAAAAGCTGGTTTTAGCCTGGGAAGAGCAGTAGTTCTGCTGCATCCCACCAGGGTAAATTGGGTGTCCAGGGCAGGGAGAGCTGCTGGGGAGATGGGATGGAAGCGGTGGTGTTCACTGAATGCTATCATCTCCTCCAGCTTAACCCTTAGGAAGGAAAAACCCTTCTTGAAGCCCTCGCTCAATTCAGCTGGACACTTCGGTAACACCTGGTCCTACCAGCCAGGCACCAAACAAGGTCACTTGTATTGGGAGATGTTCTTGCTTTGGAAGAAAAAAGACCAGAACCAAAACAGAGGCTGAAAAATAACAGCCAGCACTGAACCTGAGCTCCTGCCCGTGTGTTCAGCTTTGCTCTGCCAAATTTGCAGTTTGCCTGGTGGGATGGCAACCAGCATCTTCTGGGCAGGGCGGTCCAGGAGAAGAGAGCAGAATGAACTGGCCTTTCTCAGCATCTCTGTAGGAAGCAGAGGGACAGACAGCAAAACAGAAGCTTCCCTGGGTTAGAAAGTTAACCAGGCGATTGCAAACCTGTCCTGCTTACAGGTTAAAATGTGCTCAATTCTTCTCTTCTGAAGCTGCTGGAGAATGTAACGTCAGTAACAGGAGATACTGGTTTGTACGTGTTCACATGTCCTGGATTTATAGCAATGCATTTAAAATACATTAAATAAATAAATGGAATCTATAGCCAGAGCTATGGAGGAGCAGTCATCATTTTCCTCCAGCATTAGAGGTGTGATGAAGAATCCTGCAAGGCTGCTTCGTGCCTCTCCAAAGTCAGACAGGTCCAGACAGGTTCTGGCACTGAGTTGAGTTAGGAGTTTCCAAAAAAAAAAAAAGGCTGAGAAAATGAAGAATGCCTCAGGATTCAGATTTAAAGAGAAGGAATAAAAGCACTGGAGCTGAAAATTGGGAATGAGTGGCACAGGTTACAGAGCATTAGACAATGAGGTGGTGCTGAAGACTGGATGTTGGTGTAGGTCAGTGGATGTTAGACTGTCATGAGGACTTTTGTCATTGGGAGAGTGAATTTGTCCTCCTTACATTTCCCATGGAGTCCCAGAAGTCCCTAGGAGACACTTCTCACTTCCCATGGAAAACATGAGTGTGAATCGAGAAGAAATTCACTGAAATCAGGAAATAAAGCCAGCCTGTAACATTGAGAGGGAGAAAAGCCCGATGAGGTGGTTGGCATCAGGGTTGCTCCCAGATGGAGCTTGTGCATCACATCCCTGGTGTGTTCCCCTTCCCAGCTTGTGG